GGGCCCAGCCCTCCTGCTCTCTAGGCTTCCAGAGGCACCGCCATCAGACACAAGTTCATGCCTGCACTCAGTTACACTCACACACACTCACACACACACACACACACACACACACACACAGACACACACACACATCAACTTTCACAGTCACACCCTACCACAATCCCACATACTCATTTTCATAGTCACTGATATACTGACACACACTCATAATTACCACACACACTCACAAACACACCCAGCTACTCACACACATTCCCTTCCCCACTTCACACTCACACCTGTAGCCACTCACATACTCAGTCTCACTCAGAGACAAACTCTCCCATACTCACAAGCACTCTCACACATACACACACACTCACTCCTCCCACTCCATCAACTCCTTCTCTCCACACTTAGACATATTCACAAATTCATGCAAACATTTCAGTGGGTTGAACTGTATCCCCCAAAATTCATGTTCAACCAAAACCTCAGAATGTGGCCTTATTTGAAAATAAACTCTTTGCAGATGTACTTCCTTAAACTAAGGATTGATATAATACTGTATTGGATCAGAGTGGACCTTAAATCCAATGAAAGTCCTTATAAAGAAGCAGAAAAGGACATAAAGAGACACAGGGCAGTCCTTTGTGTGAAAATGAGGCAGAGCCTGGAGTGCTGTGGCCTCAAGCTAAGATACCCTGGAGGTACCAGAGCTGGAAGAGACAGAAAGGATCCTCTTCTAAAGTCTTTGCAGGGAACACAGCCCTGCTGACACCTTGATGTTAGACTTCTGGTCTCCAAAAATCCTTGATGTTGGAAAATGTGGTCTCCATAACTCCATTATGGGGTGAACTGTGTCCTACCTGCCTCCCAAAATCAGTATGTTGAAGTCCTAACCCCTAGTACCTTAGAATGTGACCTTATTTGGAAATGGGTCCAGGGGAGATATAATTTGTTTGGGAGAACTTAAACTAGGTTAAGGTGGGTCCCTAATCCAATTATGACTGGTAACCTTATAAAAAGGTGAGATTTGGAGACAAACACACACAGGTAAATATGCGGTCAGTAATCTACAAACTAAAGAATGTCAAAGATTGCCAGCAAACTACAGGAGGTAGGGGAGAGGCCTAGAACAGATCCTTCCTTCACAGCCCTCAGAAAGAACCAGCTCTGCTGACACCTTGAACTTCTAGCCTCTAGAACACGGAGAAAAAAATTTCTATTATTTAGGCCACCCAAGTGTATGGTACTTTGATGTGGCAGCCCAAACAAACTAACCAAGTTTGCAGTAAATTGTTACAGCGTCCCTAGGACACTAATACACATGCACACTCACCCACATGCTCACACTCGCTGACACACACACCACATTCATAGCCCCAGTACTCTGTAGGCCACAACTATTCATTGCATACATGTCTTGTCCGTCGTTCCACTTTCCACTAACATTCGCAGCAGTCCACACAGGGTCTTGGTGGCTTCACTCTGCATGATTTCAGCATGGACTCCAGCAGAGAGACAAAGAGTTTGTAGTAAATTAACAGTACTGGTAAGCATCATTGCAGTGGGATGAATGTTCCTTTCAATTTGTTCTGCTTCTGGAAAAAAAGTATCAAAATAAGAAGCTATATTCCCAAATAGAACTGGAAAATATCCCTGCATGTAACTTAGGGATTTCATAACACAGTTTTTTAAGGAATTTAATATCACAATTTTTACTGTGGAAAGGGAAGTAGCTCTTTACAAGAAAAGAATTCAAAATACACTAAACACCGTAATCATCTGTCCCCACCTTCCTCAAAGAAAATAAGCCTTCCAAATTACAGTTTAATTTTTTAAAGCTATCTCCACATATGGCTCAGAAGCACTAAAACAATTACAAGGATTTATTCTTTTAGAAAGACAACTTATCAAATGTCAAAAACTGCTTGCTGATGAGCTAGCTATGCCCTGGATGAAGATAGAAGTGCCTGCTCCATGGAGGGGAAGCAGAGGCTCATGTGTCAAAGCCACTGACTTTCTGACAAGGGGGCACGTGACAGCCAAGCTATAGTTCTGTCACTTAGCCAGCTCTGCTCAGGTTCTGACTCCTCTGAGTGAAGACCCCAGACAGAGAACTGGGAGGAGGGACAAGTGGCCTAGACATCGTGTGCTCAGACACAGTGATAACAAAACCAGCCCTGACCAACTAAGCACGACTCCAAGTTTCACATATGTTACTCCCAACAGCTCCACAAGGCATCATCTGTTTACATCTGAGGGGGCATGGGCCCCCACAAGTGACATGGATGGAGCAGAGCCTTTTCCACTCTCCATACCACCCATCTTCTACTGAGCTCAGCCTCTTAGGTTTCCTCTCCTGACCATACAAGTGACTTCCAAAGCCTGACCATGCAGTGCATACAGCTAGCACCTGAGCCCCAGGAATCAGCCCAGGCCTCCTGGACAGTCTCACCAAGACCAGCCATGGGAAGTTTCATTCACACATCCCAAAGTCTTTTGGACACATTGGAAAATGTCATGAAGTCCTCCTCCCACAACCTTGGATTTACTTAGATAGGATTTAACTTTCCGGGTTCACTCCAAATTTCTATTTCTGGTTTCCTTAAGGTAATACTGTACTGACTAATTCCACATTATTCCTAGTCCACCAGGCACTGACTCACTACCTCACACAGGAGACTCAGAGCCAAATGAGAAGGTCCACTAGAGGTAAAGACATAGCAAGCAAGCCCTACAGTGCCAAACTTTACTGGACTGTCCCCAAAGGGAGCAAGGGAGTCAAATCCAGCTAGGCTGCCAGTTACCAGAGCCATGCTTTTAACTCCTATATCAGAATTACCTGGGGCTTATTTAAACTGAACCTTTAGGGGCAAGTCCAAAACTACAGAGCACTGTCTGCAGGTGAGTTCTGATACACTGTTCTCACTTTCAGATGAAAAGGACAGCCAGCTAGCATTAGCACACAGCTTGCCAAGCTGCCCCAGACTAAACAGCCCCAAGGCACCCACCAGAGTCATCCTCTGTGTCCGAGTCCTCTGCTGAGGGCTGTGTTGAGGCTGGCAGCTCCGCCAACTTGAGGTCATACTTCCCTTCTTTCCCCATCCTGTAGGAGTTGGTGCTGCCTGTGTCCCACTGGACCCTGATCCACCCGTCCTCTCCAAGTTCACCAATCACACGCCCAAGACCAGGAGGAGGTCCATCCTGAGGAAGCCAAAACAAAGATCAGTTAAGAGGGCCCACGCCTGTTCTGTCACACAAAGCCTGTAAGGACTGCTGTGTCACTGTGCCCACAGACTGCTCCAAACCCACCTGCACCATGCACAGCTCACATCATCACCTTAAATCAAACATCAGGAAATAACTGGCTTATGCTCCTTTACCAAAGAGGTAAGTGGGAAAAGAATTGCATCAATCAGCATCCTCCCTAAACCAATTAGAGATAAGGCTTTCCAGCCTAGTCCTGATGCCCTATTCCTTGGCTCGATCCCTCCATTGGGCTTCAAAATACCAGAAACCTGAAACAAGCACCAGCATCTCCTGTTTTCCTCTTGTTCTTCAGTTTTCTCTCTGGAACCTAGAGTGGAGACTCCGTCTCTCATGTCTATGAGTGAAAGCTGTTTTTAGGATGCTGCTACCTGTTCTAGGACACTTCTGAAATGATTCTGGTAAGACCCATGCTTAACAGTGAGGTTGAGAAAACCTAGAGGTGCCAAGAATGCTACCACACTGTAGGAAGGTGAGCACTATCCTTAGCTAGTGACTACGGTAATAACACAGACACCAGTCCCCACAATCTCTCCTTGTGAGACCTCACAGAAGCTTGGGAGTGATATGCCACAAGGAGAAACAGAGAGGTGGCCACCACCCAGCTGGCACACCTGAAACTGCTAGGTTGGGGCACTTAATTGGGCACATGGCCACCACCTCTCAGCACCTGGGTTTTTCTGCCTCACAGTTTTTAGAACACTATTAATAAGATGAAGTCTATTCTTTCCTGCTTACTCCTGCTCCTACTCTAGGCTCCCCCTCAAATTGAGCCCATGCCAGTAAGTTTTCTAAAAACAGCCATGACTCCTTAAATTCATGATCCTGCTTGAGGTGCCCCTACAGCCACTGATACTCTCTACTTGTTTTGACTCTATTCACCTGCCCAGGAATCCACAACTACGTCATCTGTCAATTGCATAGGCCCTGAGTTAACATAGTTATATATTCCAATTCCACCCACTAAGAGCAAGCAAGTAAGGATGGTGACTAATGTGTGGCTAATGTGTTTAAAATCAAATCTGAGTACCTGATCACCCCATTTCCAATCAACGCCTCTCATGACCCTGGTTCCAATCTTCATCATGGCAGCCAGTTCTGGCCCTGAAACTGGCAGCTGTACAGGAGCTGTTTCCTTTCTTGTCTCTTCCAAAACTGTAGCAGAAGCTCCTCGGGCAGAAGCATTCATATCCTCTTCAACATTATCACAACTAGGACCTATCAGAGCATCAAAAACAGCAGGTAAGCCAACAAGTAGTTACAATATCCTAATCTTAATACACTTTTTTAATTTTTTTTAATGTTTATTTTTGAGAGAGAGAAACAGAGTATGGGGGAGGGGTAGAGAGAGAGGGAGACACAGAAACTGAAGCAGGCTCCAGGCTCTGAGCTGTCAACATAGAGCCCGATGCAGGGCTCAAACCCATGAACCATGAGATCATGACGTGAGCTGAAGTCAGGTGCTTAACCCACTGAACCACCCAGACACCCCTTAATACACTTTTTTCAAAAATTAGTAAGGACTGATGAAAATAATTTTAAAGAATCTATAGTGTATAGTGTATTATCAATATAATAAGTACCATGAAAGATTTATTGATGAGAATTTAAAAAGATAAAAGGAGAACCAAATATATAAATATATATCAGAAGAGGGGCACCTGGGTGGTTCAGCTCGTTAAGAAGTCAACTCCTGTTTTTGGCTGAGGTCATGGTCTCACAGTTCGTGAGTTTGAGCCCCACATCGGGGCTCTCCACAGTGTGGAGCCTGCTTGGATTCTCTCTTTCTCCCTCTCTGCCCTTCCCTGCCCCTCCCTCTCTCTCTCTCTCAAAATAAATAAACTTTAAAAAAAAATGTTTAATTAAAGAAAAGTATCAGAAGATATAAAAGATATAGAATGATCAACAGAGACATTTATTCTACTTCTAGGAATTATGCCCCCTCTTCCAAAAAAAGCAAATGATTAAGTTAGAAAAATACTCATCACATGTTTTATTAGAATAGTAAAGCAAAGGATAACCACCTAAATGTCTAACAATGAGAAATTAACAAACTTTAATTATGATACTATGCAGAAAAGAGCTAAGAACAGCAGGCCTGATACCACTGTCCTTAGAAAGGGCTGGCTTGCAAGGTAGCCCTCAGCTGGCCTCTGGGAACCTGGATCTCAGGAGGGCTCCCACCCTTCCCTGATAAGAGGCCTCACAGTGCCTAAACTATTTGTACAATGTGGTCTCTGCTTAAACCTGCTTCCTTCTAGGGGTCTAGAATTTGGGTATATGCCAGGAGGTGCCTACATGACCTGCCCCTGTGCAAATCCTAGGTGCTGAGTCTCTCATGAGCTTCCCAGGTAGACAACATTTCACATGTACAATCAACAACTCTTTGCTGAGAATAAACTTCATCCTGTGTGACTCCACTAAGACAGGACTTGTGTCAGTTTCTCCCGGACTTTTCCCATGTGCCTCTTCCCTTCACTGATTTTCCTTCCTAGTCTTTCACTGTAGTAAATCTTAGTCCTCAGTGTGTCTATACCTGGAGTCTGATAAGGTCTTCTCACAAAGCACTGAATCTGGGCGTGGTCTTAGGGACTCTGACACAGGGATGGCAGCAGTAGGAATCTCTAGAACAACCTTGACTAGCTGAAATATTGCATAAGTATTGTTTGGTAAAAGGAAGAATGAAGGTGGAGTATGATGAATATTTGGTCCTTGATGGCAATGAAATCATTCTTAATATAAAACAGAAGCGGGGCGCCTAGGTGGCTCAGTAGGTTAAGCAGCCAACTTCGGCTCAGGTCATGATCTCGCAGTCCGTGAGTTCGAGCCCCGCGTCGGGCTCTGTGCTGACAGCTCAGAGCCCGGAGCCTGTTTCGGATTCTGTGTCTCCCTCTCTCTGACCCTCCCCCGTTCATGCTCTGTCTCTCTCTGTCTCAAAAATAAATAAACGTTAAAAAAAAAAAAAATTAAAAAAAAAAAAAAAAACAGAAGCTGAACCATCAGCTACAAGAAGTAAAATTTACAAATGGATTTTAAAATAGTGAATTTAACCCCAGGAATGAGCGTGCTGGATCCCCTGGCTGCTTTTGATCTTGTTGGCTAACTTGAGGTGGGGGGAAAGTACAGTCCTGGTAACTCCTTCAGTCTTTGTTCTCTCCTCCAAGTGGGAGGAAAAGGTGCCCAAACATTCCCAAAGGTGGGCTTGGGTGGGTCAAAAATGTACATAGTCTGTGATCCTCTCTCCTCCAAAAGGGATTTAAAAAAAAACGGTTATTCAATTCTTAGGGCTGGAGTAAAGCTTTAGATAAAGTAAAGCTTTTCCCCAGTTTTACTAGGAAAAAAAATATTCTTTTCTTCAGCCCAGCTCAATGGTGCCTCAGTGAGACCTCAAAAAGGGCATCTGTTACATTCCAGCTAGGAGCTCCCCTGGCAGATATAATGCTAACCCTATAAATGCCAAATTTACTGCAAAGGATTTGAATACATTTGCAATAAGAAAAAAAGGGGGACCTTTTTTTAAGTGCTTTTGTATTTTGTGGCTGTGATATCTGATGCATACATAAAGTTAATATAAAGTATTACATGCTTATAATTTTTTTCTTAATGTTTTTATTTATTTTTGAGGGAGAGGGAGAGATAGAGCATGAGCAGGAGAAGGGCAGAGAGAGAGGAAGACAAAGAATCCAAAGCAGGTTCCAGGCTCTGAGCTGTCAGCACACAGCCTGTTGCAGGGCTTGAACCCATGAACCATGAGATCATGACCTGAGCTGAAGTCGGACACTCAACTGACTGAGCCACCCAAGCACCCTGCTTATAATATCTTATATTAAAGAAAAATAATCCTGATCAAGGAAAGCGGTAAATACAGATATGTATTCATGGGACACAATTCCCTTGCTTTCTGTAGCCAGGAGGAAGGTTGAAATTTAAACTCCTAACAAAGGCCCCCATAATTAATAATTTGTGCTATGACTTTTACCTATTTGGATCCTCTGGAAAAAAGGGAGATGATATAAAAAGAGAGGCAATTTCTAGATGGAAATACAAGTTTGAGACTTTTTAAAAGCATTTTTTAATTACTCATGAGGTCTTACGAAATCAGATGCATGACTCATAGAGGCTGACTGTTTTCTAGACTGATGCATATTTTTGAATGGGTCATGTGGACACAAAGATTGAGAAGACCAAAGAGCTTAAGAAAGCCTTGCTTTTTCACTTGGACTTTGAAGACTGACGCTGCAGTATTTCAAAGTTCACACAAAAAACATTAGAAACCAATCAGATCTAATAGACACACATATATACAGAACTGAAAAAAAGCAGGATACACAATCTTCTCAAGGGTACATGGAACATTCTCCGGGATAGCCCGTATACTAGACCACAAGTCTCAATAAACTGAAATATACTATAATCATACCAATTACCTTCTCCAACAACTACAGAATGAAACTGGAAATAACAAAAGAATACTACAAATTTTACAAGTATATGGAAATTAAATCACAAACACTTAACCACCCAAAGTAAAAAAAAAATCATGAGAGAAATTTTGTTAGTACCCAAAATCTATAAAGAATTTATCAAACTCAACACACAAAACACAATCCAGTTAAGAAATGGGCAGAAGACGTGAATAGACACTTTTCCAAAAACATCCAGATGGCTAACAGACACATGAAAAAAATGCTCACCATTACTCATCATCAGGGAAATACAAATCAAAACAATGAGATACCACTTCACACCTATCAGAATGGCTAAACAAGAGGTGTGGGTAAGGATGCAGAGAAAAGGGAACCCTCCTACACTACTGGTGGGAATGTAAACTTGTGCAGCCACTCTGGAGAACAGTATGGAGGTTCCTCAAAAAGCTAAAAATAGAAGTACCCTACTAATCCAGCAATTGCACCATTATTTACCCAAAGAATACAAAAATACAGATTTGAAGGGGTACATGCACCCCAGTGTTTACAGCATTATCAACAATAGCCAAACTATGGAGAGAGCCCAAATGTCCATCAACTGATGAATGGATAAAGAAGCTGTGGTATACACACACACACAAAAACACTCTCTCTCTCACTCTCTCTCTCTCTCTCTCTCTCTCACACACACACACACACAGACACACACACACACTGAAATATTACTCAGCCATCAAAAAGAACGAAATCTTGCCATTTGCAGCAATGTGATGGAGCTAAAATATATTACGCTAAGCAAAATAAGTCTATGAGAGAGAAACAAATACCATATGATTTCACTCATATGTGGAATTTAAGACACAAAACAGATGAACATATGGGAAGGGAGGGAAAGAAGAAAGAGAGAAACAAACCACAAGAGACTCTTAATGATAGAGAACAAACTAAGAGTTAATGGAGGGAGGTGGGTCAGAGATGGGTTAGACGGGTGATGGGTATTAAGGAGGGCACTTGTGATGAGCACTAGGTGTTGTACATAAGTAATGATCACTGAATTCTACTCTTGAAACCAATATTGCACTGTATGTTAATTAACTAAAATTTAAATTAAAAAAAATACTTTGAGACGAATGAAAACAAAAACACAACATACCAAAACTTACAGGATGCAGAAAAAGCAGTGCTATTGGGGAAATTGTTATCTACAAAGGCATACATTGAAAAAAGAAGAGGGTGCCTGGGTGGTTCAGTGGGTTAAAAGTCCAACTCTTGATTTCAGCTCCAGTCATAATTTCATGGTTCGTGAGTTTGACCCCCAGGCTGGGCTCTGCGCTGACAGTGCACAGCCTGCTTAGAATTCTCTCTCTCTCTCTCTCTCTCTCTCTCTCTGCCTCTCCCCTACTTGCATACACACACTCTCTCTCTCAAAATAAATAAACTTAACAAAAATGAAGAAGAATCTCAAATCAGTAACTTAACTCTACACCTGGAGGAACTAGAAAAATAAGAACACAATAATATACCCATAGTAGAAAGAAAGAAAGAATAAAAACTAGAGCTGAGATAATTAAAAAACAACAGAATCAATAAAAGTCAGTTTTTTGGAAAATATCAAAAAAATTACAAACGTTTAGGTAGATTAAGAAAAAAGAGACAAGATGCAAATAACTAAAACCAGAAATGAAAGTGAGGACATTACTACTGATTCTACAGAAATAAAAAGAACGGTAAGAGAGTATACGAACAACTATACAAGAACAAATTAGCTAACCTAGACGAAATGGATAAATTCCTAGAAACACCCAAATGATCTGAACTGAGTTAAGAATAAATAGAAAATGTGAGTAGACCTAGAATAAGTAAAGAGACTGAATCAGTAATCAAAACCTCTCAACAAAGAAAAACCCAGAGCCAGATGGCATAACTGGTGAATTCTACCAAACTTTTAAAGAAGACTTAATACCAATTCTCTAACTCTCCAAAAATAGAATAGAATGCAACAAATCCTAACTCACTCTGAGCCCAGCATTACCCTGTAACAATACAACTATAAAATACAGTTCAAAGAAATGAAAGAAGACCTAAATAAATATAAAGCCATCCCATGATCACGGAAAGAAAGACTTAATATTTGTTAAGATACCAATACTCCCTAACACAATCTACAGATTCAATACAACCTCTAGAAAATCTCAATAGCTATTTTTTTCCAGACATGGAAAAGCCAGGCCTGAAATTCCTATGGACCTGAATTCCTAAGGACCCAAAATAGCTAAAATAATCTTGAGAAAGAAAAATAAAGTTGGAAAACTACTTTTTTATTTCAAAACTTACCACAAAGCTAGTGTTCACAACAATGTGGTACTGACATAATGACAGACATACAGACCAACAAAATAGAGAGTCTAGAAATAAACTGTAATAACTATAGTCAAATGATTTCACAACGGGGCCAAGACCTTGGGAAAAGAAGTCTTTTCAACAAACAGTACTAGGACAACTGGATAACAAAAAGAAGTAAAAGGAGTTCTTACCTCACACCGTAGTAAGAATTGCCTACAAATGGACTAAAGACTTAACTATAAAAACTAAAACTATAATTTTAAAAAAAGAAAACACAGTGAGCCATCCCCATTAACTGGGATTTGGCAATGGTTTATTGAACGTGACATCAAAAGCACAAGAAACAAAAGAAAAACAGACAAATTGGACTTCACCAAAATTTAAAATTTCTGTGCATCAGCGTAAAACACAACCCACAGAGTGGGAGGAAATATCTTCATATCATATAACTGACAATGGTCTAGTATCCAGACTATGTAAAGGACTCCTACAACTCAACAATACAAAGACAAATACCTCAATTTAAAACTGGGCAAAAGTTTTGAATAGCAAGTTCTCCAAGAAAGAGAAGAAAGGCCAAGATGGCAGAGCAGCTGAAAGTTTTCTGCTTCTCTCCTTCCGGAAATGTAGCTAGATAAGCACCAAACCATTTTGTACACCCAGAAAACTGATATGAGGATCAACACAACAATCTGCATAACGTAAGCCACAGAACTTAGCAGGGATGCAGCATGGAGAGGAGAACTGGGAAAGAGAAAAGCCACGGAGGGTAGGGAGCTATTTTTGCTTGCAGAGAGAGGACAGAGACAGAGGGAAGAGTAGGGGAAAAGCACTCCAACTGAAAGTAACTGAGAGAAAGAGAGTGGGAACACCCATAAGGGACTGAACAAGAAAGGGAGGAAGGAGAAAGGGGAAGGTTGTAAATACCATTAGGACTCTAC